CAGGTAGTTGTCAAGACTATTAACCCCTGGGTTTAATGTAATTGAAGGCACGCTATTACCACGTTAATAGGCTAGTGCAGAAATAGCAGCATTTACAACAGCCAGTGGAAGCAGAATGCATAGCTTTATTATTGTTAATTAGCGGTCAGACTTTGCAATGTATGCCTTGGCATTGGAAGAAATATGAAGAGATATCCTACCTCCTATTTTTACATGTTCAACAAACTTCTCTACATCATGTGTTAATTTTCATTACCTCTTTAAAGGTTGGGTAAACCCAGGACATACAATGTAATACGCTAATAGAATATGGCAGAAATACCTGAAACAGACCAAACTTTAATCAATTCAATCGCTTGTTGTAGTCGTGAGTGCTCTATTACTGTGTCAACATGGATGAAGAGCAGCCACCTTGCTAGCAATCAAAGAAAGACTTCTGACAACTGGAACCAACTCATCTGATTTTGCACATTGAGACATTTTTAAATGTGCACAAACCTCTAGATTTGTTTCAAATAAAGAAAGATTCTGAACTTCAGATTATTCCATGACATCATGGTCTGTTCCCACTACATCTTATTTCCATGCATACAGGTTTCTGGGTTGGATAAGAAAGACACCAAAATGCTGCAATTCCCCTGCTAATTTAACTAACACTAATTTAACTATTGTGGGTACTAAGTCCAGCAGCCAGAATCGTAACATGTACCACATAGCACAAATGCAATTAACCTGCATAGGATAGGTTTAGGACGGTTTTCAAGTTTTCTCTTCCAGCTCAATGAATTCAAACCATCAATGCCGATTACTGACACTATCCCCACCTACCCATCGAGGTTTAAACCTGACAAATGTCATTCTTGAATTCTAACATGCTGCTAGTTTCTTCTTCCTAGATTAGTCCTTGCTCAAATACCAGTAATTTTACATTTTCTTTAAAAACAATTAAATAACATACAATTGCCTCTTAGCAGTGTTTCATTTCTCAGTTTAGTGAACCATTGTGCATGGATGGTAGAAATGTCATCTAAGTTTTATCACAGGTAACCGTTGAAGTACATGACCTACAAAATCACAGAAGGGGCTTTCCAGCAGAACTTCCTGTGAAAAAGATGTTCAAAGATGCCAGCCCATTGGGTCTTGTGAATATACACACTTTTGTTATATAAGTATTTTAAAAATACGTCCATCCATTTTCTAACCGTTTTATCCAATACAGGGTCACAGGGGAGTCAGAGTGTATCCCAGCAAATAACGGGCAAAAGGCAGGATTTAGAAATGTATTCTTCCTGATCTTCATCTTTTTTCCTAGTGAATAATTTCCTGAAAGTTTCTTTAAGAAATTAAACAAATTGTTGCAGAAGGGCAGTTACCTGCCCCCCCCCCCTTATAGCTTATCATGACTGTGTGAGTTACAGATGGTCCCACAAGGGGTTAGGGACACACAGGCCAAGTATTAAAAAAAACAAAACACAGATGGGATCTTGACAGCTTATTCAAATTAGGGGCATGTATGTGTTTAAAGAGGATTGGCATTTTGGCAAAATGTAATACAAGAGTCACAAAGTTCAGACACTACAGTGTTTTGTTGATAAAGTCATTGCTTCTTGTCTCAGAACATCTCTGCGTTTGCGCAGTATTTCATAATAACGCCCCACTGGAAAGAGTCAGATTTGAAATATCCTGGAATGTAAAAGATTACCAATGACTGGACAGTGTGTTTTGCTTTGTGTTCTAGCAGCTCTAATGAGAGATGCTGATAAAAAACAGGAGTCTTTGTCCAAGATTTCAATATTTCAAACCAGATCTATTTGCTGGGAATGGATTTTTCTGCTGCAGTGGCAGCATTTATTCTTTTCAAAACTTTCTTTATTTGATATCAAGACAGCTACCAAGCATTTTAGACCATGACAACACTATACATAAACTGGAGCTGGAGAGGTCAGGATTCATGGTGGTTGTTAAGTTCCTGTACCGCTTTTGGTGTAGAAGTCACTAAATCAAGTTATTTATTGTATCTGGAAACCCCTTTATTACACATGAGGAAATGCAGTCCAGCTGGAATGAAAGAACAGCTTTTGAACAGGTAACCAGGGTTGTGATTAAATTTTTAGATATCACGGCAGAAAGAGCAAAGATGACAAAGATGGAAAAAACACACAAAGAACGGATTTATAAATGAGAGGAAATTGAACTCTCTACAGTTGCTGCTTGTTATCCTGCCCAAAAAATGCAATTGGTAATGCCTTTTCACACCATAAAAGCATTTTAAGAAACATTTACATAACATGGACATTTTATTTTGTAAATAAACTATTTAATCTCATTTTAAAAACAGGCTTTCTCTAAAATGGCAAAACTGTGCTTGCTTTTCTCCATTTGAGAATGTTATATTGATAACATATTATTTAATACAATTCACCAGTTACACATTTTTCCAGCTATCGGAAAGATAATGATTCATAACAGTACTACTATTACTGGTCTTTCTACATCCCATTAATGGCAAGACTTTGACAAGACTTTAAACACAAACCTGTAAGGTGCGTAAAATCTAAGCCTCTTACTCCCCCTGGTGGGCCAAGTGTCTCAAAAGCTACATGGCCTGTTTTTGGTATCATAGGGTTACTTCAACGCAAAACTTCAGCAAAACATGGTACACATTTATACAGGAACAAGTAAAAGGTTTATTCCATCCTGAAAAGTGAACAAAGAAAACACAACGTTACGGCTGTGGAGCCTCCTTCGTGTGAATGAATAAATTTATACATACATACGATGGAGAAATACTTAAATATACCAAATTGGACAAGCTGACGATCAACACTTCCGTTATTATAAATCCCAGTAATATTGAGAAATGAAATAACCATGTTATTTAACATGTCATTTTAAGCACGACTTGTAATTCTGACACTGCACCGATTTCATTCATAACACCACATCAACATTGAATCATTTTTAGTTGATAGATCTAAGTTTTCTTGAAACAGTGTAATAATTAAAAAAATGCTAAAAAATACACGCCGTAAAAAAATGGGATACTTGCTGAAATGCTAAATGATCTCATTCATTTCAATATATCGCCTAAAGCATGAACGTATCAATATTAGCATTGACAACGTCAATGTACGTCAAATACAATTGTACGTATTTGAGAGATAAGATCACTTTATTGGCCATATTCAATTTCGTGTACTAGGAATTTGTCTTTTTTCGCATACCCCAACTTGTTCTCCACGAGACACAGACAGGGAGAGAAGTTCGGGGTCAAAGCGCAGGGTCAGCCATTTATACGGCGCCCCTGGAGCAGCTGGGATTAAGGGCCTTGCTTAGGGGCCCAACGGAGTAGGATTCCTCTGCCAGCCGCGGGATAAGAACCGGCAACCTTCCAGCCACAGGCGCAGATCCTTGGCCACAGAGCCACCACTCCGTATTATATATAACACGTACGTAATTGCAACAAATTACGGTTCTAAAGGGCAAAGTGATAGTATACTGCATATTGTAACGGGGGCTCAGGCGGGCGCCCTTGCCGCATCTGGTCGGCCCCTGCACCGTCCGGGGCTCGAACCCGGGACTTCCGCGTCTCTCTGCAGCGACCTAGCCCCGTGAGCTAAAGAGAGATCTCTCCACAGCCCAGTAGCTGTGGTCCTGCTATCACAGGGTAGGGCGGTGACGTCACCCGCTCTGGTACGCCGGGTCTTACACACAGTGCTTGTCGGCCGTAAGCGTTACAATATCAAAATATGCGATGATACTTCAGGCATCCTGCTTTGCAAATAAACGTGCTAAGATTGAATGTTGACAGTACAAAGGACAAAACGTTTCAGGAGTTGTACCTGAAAAAGGTGTAATTATTTTTAATATATTAAAAAGCAATAGAACCTTAGCATATGCAAGTTCTCATTGTTTTTGTCTGAACAAAATAAAAACATAATTCATAACAAAGCATCAAACTGAGATTATACAGCCTGCTCCAGTCTAAGTCCTTCAGCTTCAGCCTCCTAAGTGTCTGATGATCCATGTGTTTAGTTCCGCCTTTTGAATCTCCCTCTTCAAGATGTTCGTGGTGCATTAGGACAAACGCATTTCCCGTAAACTCCGCCCGTTTACTGTAACTGTAATAGAAAAGAAAAGGCGGACATGGGAGACACGGGTTTATGGAAATAAAGCAATGAAGGTATAACAGTGTTTGAACGATTCTGAAAACTTGCATTAACTGAAGTGAGAGGTAAGCATCGCTAGTTTTATAGTATCGCACTGGGGGTTACCCGTTACGTAGGGGCTGCACTGTTTCATTTTCAAGTCCAAAGTGTATTGAAGGCCGGAAGTCAAAGGCGTCATTAAGTTTCAGTTTTAAACATTTGTTTATGTTTTTTTTAATAAAAAACGTCTGCACTTGTTGATTGGTGTTAAATAACTTTTACACTTGTGTGGATTTGATGGTGAAATCGCCTGTGGTGGTGCAAACGCAGTAGCCTTTTTAAAGCGTAGTTGTTTTCGAAATACAACATCACCTTTCCTTTGTATATTTTAGTGTTGCGTTCTGTTCTTACAAAATAGTGTTGAATTTATCCAATCTTAGACGAACTCATGAACTGAAACAAAGTGGAAAGTGTAAATGCACAGAACATTAGCTGTAACAGAAATTAATGTACATTTATTAAAAATAATTTTATTATTTCAGTCTTATCATACATTAAATTTCTGGAGCTGTGCAACATGGAACATTAAACGATAAAATATTTCCATTAAGTGTAATCTAAAAATAAATTATCTTAATAACTCTTATTAAAAACACTTTAAAGAAACTCTTTAATAAGTGCACTACCTTATTTACAGGAATCCTTATGGTTAAAATGTATACAGGACATAATACACCAAGGCCTCTAAAAAAGGCTTCTAGTTTTACAGTTGTTTAAATTTGTAACTACATTTAACATACTTGAAATGATTAATTCACAGGTAAATTAGCTGTGAATACTGCTACTGTCTACACCAAATTCTAAGAAAGTTATTTGAGAATGTTCCTATTATAAATTAAAAGTACCACATCTTCTCTTAAGGTGCAATTTTTCTAAAAGCCCTATTAAAAGGAGTTAAATTAAAGGTATATTTCTACATCTATAGATTCAAAATCTAACCTCAAATTTTAATCTGCTATTGTCTACCTGAAATGGAAAAAAAAACACCTAAAATGGTACTAAAAGAGAGAAAGGTAACTTTTTCCATATGCCTATTTGGCTGCCAAACTTTCACAAATATGTTCCTGATTTTTTAAATTCTGATAATTCTTATTGCTTATTTTCTCAGAACATTGCATTTCCATTTAAACTGTACATTTACTTCAAAAGCCTGAAATATTATGTGATCCTGACAAGGGTGCCTCATTTTTTGACAAATATTAACTGTTCTAGACTTAATTTTCAAGTGACTGTGTGTCTGTATATCAAATGTTGAAGGAGTAGTTATTCATTTAAAGGAGCATAGTGTCTGGAGTGTTTGAAGCATCTGATGTTTTGTTTAAAATTGTAAAATTTCTCAACATTTAGGTTGCATCAAGCTACTAGCAACTTGACAAGGTAAGAAGGCAAATGAGATCATCTAGTTTTTAACCTTTTATGCTACCGCTTATATTTCATCTCATCTCATCCTGGGAGGGTCGTACTTGTATTTTTGGTCACTAACAAATAACGTGGGCCTCCATTTTCCTCGTAGATAACATAAAGAGCTCAAAATGGATGCCAATCTGACAGACGCCAAATCTCCAATCACCACAGAAAGTGAGAGAGACATCACAGCGGCTCTCTTGCCTTCAGGGAGTTCTCGCAGCCGACCCCACAGTGAAATGATTTCCGTTACAGAAACCAGCTGCCAACCTAAGCCAGACCTTTGCGTGGAGCGAAGATCTAGTGATTATGAACACCACTGTTCTGGGTCAGTGCTGTTGAGTTACCCTGCCAAAGTGTGGGACCGGGGAAACAAGGGTCACCTCTTTGAGGCCGAGCTGAAGCCTGAGTCCCGTGCAGGGATTCAGATTGCCACAGTTCATTTTCCTTTGAAATCAGAAGACCTAGATCAGGAAGAGAAGGATGAGCAGTTTTCCCCCTTCTTGGGAAAAGAAGTGATTTCAGCTTTCCAAGATGTGACTTCAGGCCCTCAAATCAACATCAGAGATGTCAGGGAAGACCCTGTAGATTTCAGCAGTTCACCTGATGTTCATTATGAGAATAAAAGAGTTGATGTAGAAAAGAAGGAACAAAATAATAACAATGACAGCTCATCTGCATGTGAGGAAGCAGACGTAGCTGAACATGTTCAGGAAACGCTTCTGACACTAAAAGAAACTCCACCAGATGAGAGACAAGATGTGGATACTCTAGCTACTAGCACACCTGCCAGAGATTTAAGTGATGGAAATTCAAGGGAAGGTTCATTACCTCTTCCAGGCTCTGACTTGGAACCAGAAATCACAACACTGGAAGATTTGTCCATTAAATCAGAATCATGTCCACATGGGAATATATCACCATTCTATACTGAAGATTTAAGGGATGAACTCCAACCTCAAAAAATGAGACAAGAGACTGACAAAGAAGACTTTGCTGAAGAGATGGAGGAGAGTATAAGAGATGTATCAAGGTCTGAGAATGACAAAAGTACAGCTAAAGAACATGGTCCATCCTTGGTTCAAGGCCTTGAAGAAACAAATGTCAACTCAAAACGAGGATGTAAAGTGGAGTTTGCCTCTCAGACCTTCATAAAGCCATCAGTTGAAGAGGAGAAAGGGAGAATCACTCACAGGTTTTTGGATGAGCTAAGGGAATTGTACCTTAGTACATATTCAAAAGGTCAGCTGTGCTTCTTCCTTCTGGATTCTGGACTTGTTCTTTCTACAGCCCAAGCTGAGAAAATCTACAAAAAAAACGTGGTCACCATGGTAAGTAAATAAAATGTTAAAAAATGTATGTACAAATAAAAAATGCACACATTAAACCCAATAGCTTTCAAGCCCCCTCCCACCCTCCACAGCTGATCATACTAAGTGGAATTGCATATGTGTAAATCCACTGTTAGCATGGTGGCAAATTCAACATGTGAAAGTGTTAGTCAAATTTTCCTTGTGTTCTCCACAGGGGTCTCCAGACCCATTGATGAAAACCCTTGCCTTAATATATAAAGGTTGACTTCCCTCATCATGTCCCAATTTTCCTTATTTTCACATAAAGCACAGTATGAATTAAGCTTTTACATTATGGAAGTTCTGTAGTATGCAATAGTGCTACACATGGAACTGCACAGTGTATAATAATGTTTATCGTAATGTTTCTGGGCTCCACAAGAATCAAGATCTCAATTTATTAGACTGTATGACAGACAATACTTCTGTGAATGTGAATTACCACATGTTATGGCAGATTTGTTTACCTTAGGGAGATGGTGTGAAAATAGCTCTAACTCCTACCATGTGCAGTGACTACCGTTACCAGCTGGACATCAACTTCAGCATCACTGAAAAACTGAACGATTTCTGGTACAGAGGAATTGACCTGGGGACCATGGGGAAGTTCCTCATTAAAAGGGTATGTATTATTTCAGTACAAATGTTACATTGATTAAAGGCTTTATCCGTGAAATTATAGCAAAGCACCACAAAATAATAGTGCTAAAATAATCTTAGGACTGTATCTCATTTGTATTGAAGTAGAAAGCTTTGAAAAAAATAATCTACAGCCTCACACAACATACAGCCTTGCATGGCCAAAAATACCAATTGAATCCCTTACACCAAGAAAATACAGTAGCATAGCTTACTATTACAGATGTGAACTTGAGCATTGCCATCAATGCTTACATACCACCTAAAAGGAAAAAGAAATACAGACCCCTGAAACTGCAGTAATAACATCCATAAATATAAAATAATTGTGCTGGAATAAAAAACACCAACTGTTCTTTGTATTCTTATTTAAGTTTATTGGCTATATTCATCTTTTCTTCCAATCATCTGCACAGAGTGATCCCCAAACCTACAATTTTGTAATGATGATAAATTAACATTGCTAATAATTTTCTCATAGAACAGTAGAACACTTATTTCTTTAGTTACACACTGCAACACCTACTGAGTTATTACTATAATTACTTCTCTAAAATATTTACTCATGAATATTAAGGACTGTCATTAGCATGCTAACGCCCTGTCATCCTGGTTTTATTTGCCTCATTATTTTCTCAATTCACTGGAGCCCTATCAACTGTAAAGGGAACCATGGTTTCAGTTTAAGGGAAGCAGTGTGAACTATCTGGTGATTTACACTTCTCACTTCCTCACTTATTAACTGGCATGGTGAATAGGTAGCTAATGAAATACATTTAACTTTCAGATTTATAGCATTATATGAAAGACTAATTCTGGATTCGAATCTGGTCAGGCCATGACTCTCCAGGCCTGTGCTTCAGCTTCTGCTGTCAGTGAATAAGATCATTCTTCTGAACAAATCCCTGGGCAGATTTCAGCCACAGTGGCTTGAGATCTTTGGATTCAGACAATTTGAACCTATCTGAATATTTTTATATAATTGTTTCTTTTTTATTATATATTAAAACATGTTCAAACTTTAACATGAGTGTTTTCAGCAACATTTAATCCCCGTGTTTTCCTGTTGTATTTAATCACATTTTCACCACTTTCTGATATTTATACAAAGCTTGTAAAATATTACCTGAATTGATTAAATGTGGTTGAATTGGACATTCTGGATGCCTGAATTACTCAATCAAATGTCTACATAGTATGTGATCTTGCTTGGTGTTCTTGTAACTTGTGTAACTGTACAATTTTATGACAAGAAACCTGTAACCAGTTGCCATGGCAAGTTTAATACTGACTATTTCTTAATTGCATAACAAAGATGAAGGTACAAGAAGATTCACAAGTAACATTCAGACTGAAATTCTGTCCATTTTGTTTTCTGCAGGTTTCCGTGGTTTCTGACTGGAGAAAAGCTTTGCATAACTTCCTCTTTCTCCCACCCAGCTCTTTCATGTTGCTTCCATATGCTGTTATTAATGACAGGAATGGATTTATTTACTACTTAATGCAGGACAAAGAAATTGAAGGTGACAAAAAAATCTCTTGGTTGCAGAAAATGAAAATCTTTCCATTCCTAATGAAACTCACATTATTTAATTGAAATGGAACACATTGTGGTCTTAGAATTTAGGTGAAAGTGAAACTTATTTGATATTACAAAATTTAAAGGAGAAACCTTCTGCTTTTTTATCAGCAGTTGACCTTTGTCGTATTTGTTGTCAGGATACATGTTTTATATTACTGCAGACAACTACTGTAAGTGCCTTGCAGCTGAGTGTTATTTACACAATATGAGTAAGCATGATGCTAGCGGAAATGTCTTGTGGCATTCTGTGAAACCACAAATGCCTTTTTTTTGGTAATACTTCCAATTAACAGAAGTAAGTCAAAAAGATAATTTCATTACCGGAACAATGTTACATTGTTAAAATATAGCTTTATAGATGTAAATGTTGATAAGATTTTTAAATTGCTTTTAGACTTTGAGATGCACCTTAAAGAAATCTTCTTGAAAAGAAAAGGGGTCTTTGAAGTCTGGCTGCAGTTTCTGACATTTTGTAAGAGAAACCAACTTCAGCCCCACAACTTCAGAACCTGCATGCTCGCCACACCACAAGTATGTCACAAACAGTCACTGCACTGTCAAGACAGTTCTGCTGAAAAACTCTTGTCACTCTTATCTGCGTGTTTCAGAAACCTATTTACCGAATTCTGTAATTACTAAAGGAAGTTCTAGGTATATTACCAGTATCTTCACTTGACCTGAAACAGGTAGCAACCCTGTGTGCTACAGGAAGATGGCAAATAGGATAGACTTTCCTAAAAGCCATGTAGTTTCCAACTCAACTGTTCAGCAACTGATTTAAAGCATTAAAGAACAAAATAGTGATCTAATAACATGTGAATCTGGTTGTTGGAACACTAAATTTTACTGCAAAGTTCAATAGCAGAAATAACAGGAAAATGCCCATATATACTATATACAATCATAAAGATGGAATTCAAAAGTAATTCCTAGGATTTCTGCATTTCTGATATCCAACAGTTATAAAAATTAAGTTTATGTGGTAGGTGGACCTTCTAACAAAATTTAAGACTTGAAGGTAAAATCTGAAAAATATAGTGGTTCTCACTTTCCTGTGTTGTCAGATGTGCCTGCATACTTGTTTTCAATATATACAGAAGGCCATTAAAATGTAACAAATGCTATTACTCTTGATACTCATTTGTTGTGTGCTTCATAAGATATAGAATGTAGAATTAACACCTGGTGATCAGGTCATATGAGTAAAGTTTTGGTTTGCCCATCTTGTCAACAGGGAGCATTCTTTGACCCCACAATGCTCGGAAATATGGAAGACCTGTGCTCCTTCAAAAAGAAGCTGGTAACAGTCATTGCAGAAGAACCCTGGGTAATGATAAAGCACATACTGTACCTGCACTGTTTGCGTTGCTTGGTCTTTTATTTGCAAACATTTATTTTTTTTTCTATTCATTTGGATAACTGGTAATACCTGTTTATTTTACACCTCCTCTGTTAAATACTGTACCTTTATCCATCCCTGTTAGATACAGAACTGTCAAAGTCCCAGTTACAATACAAATCTTCTACAAATACACTGTTAAACTAAACATTTATATTATTCACTTCTAGTCAAACACTATAATACAACAAATAGTGTACTGAAGGACACTATTTTTCATCACCTTTGTTCAAATACTGATTGTAAAGAGATCTTTTTAAAGCTTTTTGAATAATTTCAGTAATTGACATTTGAATTAATTTAGAATTAAATACATTGTTTGCAGAACTAATTAAGAAGTTATATACTTTCTTAAACCTGTGCATATTGCTGCAATCTAGACTATTAATCAACAGAATTTACAAAAGATCTTTTCCCCTGGTGTACTATTGTCCTTATTTGCTGTGACACCTTCATGCATACTATAGGGAGAACATGCATCCTGGACCTGATAATAGTACCAACTAACAGACACATGGCATTGTTGGATATCTGAATTTAGAGACTTGATGGCCGTGAACATTATACCAACAAAAGTAGATAATATTGTGGTTTAGCTGAACATAAATTCCTTTGTAGATTTTCTAGCAATTTGTCCTCCTAGAAGTAGCAGTGAATCCAAATTGGTTTGTTATCTGTAAGTTGATCTGCTTCCTACTATGCCTTTTCCTTGTCATATTCTGCAAATTCTGCTTAGAATAACAGTTGAAATGCCATTTAATAATTTAAGAGTAAATTGACATGGGAAACATACATACTTATATGATCCACAGGACAAGATTATAATGCCTGTGTTCATGAGACAAAGCTTGTAAATGTATGCATGTTCTTTCCATTTATCCGTTTTATCTGTCCATCCATTTTCTAACTGCTTTATGCAATACAGAGTCACGGGGAGCCAGAGCCGATCATGCTGTAGCTTTTTTAAAATAATTGATTTGTTACTAGTCAGCCAGCTGAGCAAATGACTTAAAGAACACAGAGAAAAAAATGCAGATGTTATGAAATATTCCTTTAAAGGAAAACAAAGCTACTTAAGAATGCACATCCTTGATCTGGTTTCTTGGTTGTGGTTTCTATTTCAGGAGGATCCTATGCTGGAAGAGAGGGTGGCCAGTGTGGTATGGGAGACTGTAGAAGAGAGTGAGGAGGCTGGAGAAGGGTAGAAGGACTTAAGCAGTGCATACAAACAGTTTATATGTCCAGTAACAATGCCATACATAAAGGGAAAACTTTAAGCTGAAATAAAACAATCATCGTAACTGTGTACTTTATTGTTCATTATTACTGTGGTTCATATTAACTGAAATCTTGCAGGATTGGCAATAGCACATTTCCTTTTTTTTTTCTCTGGATTTTGGAACAACTCGTAAGATTATAGAAAACAAGTCTGATGTGCACTGTGAGGTTCCATTCTAGTTTCAAAACTTTAGTTATGGTCACAGTTGTGTGGACTTCAACTTCCACCTTCACCTTATCAGCCTCTGTGCATGCCAGCTACTGACATGAAAAGAGCTTGCAATCTAAACTAAAACATACAAAATCTGCAGTATTTTCAGTGTTGCCTTTTAACTAAAACATGCAGTAGTTAGATCAATGCATACCTGAACTACAACTAAAAAAACAGCATGACATGTACAAAACATGTTTAGGATTAAATGTTTATTACAAGGACCATACCCACTCAATGAACTCATGCTGATCCCAACATCTCAGAAAATCAGCAATTTCAACATTTAAATAGACCACACTGGGGCTATACCATATTTATAAAAATAATTTTCAAATTTGTTTCTTCACCCAACTATTACTTCATTTAAAATGAAAATTAACAAGATTAAGATGTAAAGTTGGTAGAAACATTTTGCATCATGTAGACCAATTTATCAAAAGATTGTTATTCAGTTTCACTAGTTTAGCAACACATACCTAAGCATCTAGAAAGAAAATGCATCTGATACTTAAACATCAAAATTTACCTTGGAACCAATTCTGTTCTTAAGTCTGAGAGTTTGACACCTTAACAAACTGTAACAAACTGTTTACAAACATACTTGATCACTAGATACATTTTGTTCCACACATGCCAATGAAAATGATAAAACTACTGGATTACAGTATGTCTGACTTTTGTTTTTTATTTCAGTATGATGGAAAACAAAAAAGGATCTTAATTCATTAACACCTGGAAGGCTGAAACTATACCCACAGCTTAAAACACAATAAAGATATATTACAAAACTTTTATTACACTTTTCATTTCAAAACAAAGTAACGGTTTCATGTAAATATTATAAAAAGTCTTAAAATTCACAAGCTGCTTATGTAAGGTTGTTGCATTATTCAACTGTCTTATTTAAGAAATCTTTTTATGAAAAGCAACATGGGGGAACATTTTATGTATATAGTTCACATAATTCTAAAGATTGGCTTTCATAAACTAAATGTAGGGAATTACTTGTGAGTGAGCCGAGTGTGGCTTTTGTATAGGTACTGATACTGTATTTTTTGTTTTAGACACCAGATGGAGCTGAAAGGTCTATAAGTTTGCTTTTCATTTATACAACAGACCATGTAGGAGAGTGGTGACAAAACTTTTGTTTGTTGTAAAAACTCTTTACTTTTTTTCGTTTTTAATAGCATTACACAGATGAAGAACGGTACATGTAAACACCATCTTAAATAAAAAAAACAGCTTCAAATCATAGCTGATGTGTTTGGGTGCTTTCTACCCAACACCAACTATATACAGTAGTGCTATTGTTACTGTATTTCCATTAATTTGCTCAAATACAAGCAGTACGGCATGTACAATTGTCCCAAAGTTCCGAAACAATTTGCTACACTTTACCTTTAAAATGAAACAAACCATACATACACGCTTAGGTCTTTGCGAAATTGTGGAATTTGTTGCAAGAAGCATTATAACTAATACAACGGGACTGTTAAAAATTTTTTCCTTAGTTTTTCTGTTGCACTTAGTTCATATGTAGCCTTAATCCACACAAACAGCACTAATAAGGTTTAAGTAAGAGGTTTATTCCATGCTGAAAATAAGAAAGAAAACACAACGTTTCGGCTGTGGAGACTTCTTCGGGTGTTTCTACCCACCTGATATATTTATATATGTTGAGATGGAGATAAAGACAGATAATATATTTTATCATAGTGGTGGTAAACATATCAATTTGATCAGAATGGTATCATTTGTAGTTAAAAGGTTTACCAAGAGTGTAATTAATGGCTGCATCTCTGCCCTCTGTTAAATGCAGTGCAGTGCAGCCCCGGCTGATGAACTTGAATGGAGTGTGCCGAGTATAAACTGTGAGTTGAGCTGTAAAAGCCAAAATTAGACTAACGCCAGTAACTTTGTATGGGTGAACGTTATCCACACTATTGAACTACAGCTTTAGTTTTTTTTGCATATTCAGCCTAGGCAGACCCTTAAGGTACTGAAACAAATTTTCTCGATTTTATCAGTTTCTTTCTGAATTTCTATGCTTGCTGATATGTTAATAGGCATTTCAAGAAAAACACCCGCAAGAGATAAACCATAAACGTATTTCACTCAGTCGATAAGCTTCTCAACATTTTCTCATTGACCTAAAGCTTTACATTGGGGTCCCAATTAGGAAAACTCTAATTACTATCTTGACTTATATAAAGATACCAGCCTACATCAGTTTAATTACAGTAAGGTCACATTTAAATTGCACTTGGCAAAAGCACAATAAGGAGATTTGTTTACCTCACTCTTGCGGGAGCCAGCGTCTTCGCTCACCTTCGTGCAGAAAGTCATTATTCCTAGTATTTAAATATTAGGACCGTGTAAACGTATCCCTATATTAATTTCTTTGATTGATATTTCACATGACACAAGTGGGAGAAGGCAGGTCTCCTGCAGCCTTACCCTTAAGTATGTCTTTGCAAGTTCATAACCTGAACCCTGAAAAAAAACTAACTCTCCTACGCAGATCAAATTAGAGGTTCATGGGATTCGCCCATGTTTGGGAGGGGGGTCAGTGACGACTTTTACTTACTCTTTGATCATCACAACACTGAAACACCCTTTACTTCATATCTTACTTTTTCACTTGGAAATTCACAATTTATTGCTTTATTTGAAACGACTTCCACAGAAGATATCTCCTTGGATACTTTTTAAATGGGACGTTCTATAGTTGGAGATAGAAATTAATGGCTTACTTACCGTGCCCCTAAATATATTGATACTAGATGTAATTTTTCCTCAGTGTATGTAGATACAATACCATGAGGTATTATAAGTAAATAAGATATAAAGCCATATATGACTAAACAGGTCCTTAAATAAACAACAGATATGGATATAGTAAAATCCTAATAAGAAAATAAGAAGTATTAACACAGCACCTCCAGTAACTAATTCCAAAACTTATGCCACTCACAAACAGTAGTTTTAAAAACAACTCAAGAACATAAATCATCTTGAACAAAAACTGACAACCTGCACCTAACCAAAATGCACAGTGACTGTCTTCTTATGCAGTGCACCCACCACCTGATGACATTGCTAACCTTACTGTCAGAATAAAGCAGACCTTAACACAATCAGTGTGAGCAAGCAAATTTCTGCCTGTCCCCATCACCTCAGGTAAAAGAGTTGCATCAGTGTTTCTCAACTACCAAAGTAGCGAACCACTGCAATAATTCTCTGAAGGGCACTTGTGATGGAGAGAAGGAGAAAATGCTGAGAATCCTGGATTTATTTATTGCCACCTGTCACTTGACCTCTACTCTGAGTTTTCAAATATACTGAGATCTATTGCCATGTTGTTGCTGTTTGTATAGGACCCTAACATGTACATTAATTGAGATTGGGTGCAGGAAGACTCATGTTTGCTGAGTGCAATTCTGCTGTTACAATTTTAATTACAAAGGTGTTAAAATTTCACTGACTCAGACATGACTGCATGTGCAATACTATACGCCTTCTTTGACAGAATTACACAGAAAATGATCCTTACATTTACCAACTTACATCTGCCAGGCACCCTGCTTCCACACTGAGGAGACAATGACTTCTGGACAGTGATGCTGACATCCAACAGCAGCTGAATTTAATTCACTCAAATCCAAATTGACTGTACTAGAATGTTGTCTGAGAACCAGGTGTGAGAGAAATGATGACAAAACATCTTAGACTGGAAATCTTCTAACAGAGCTCAGTGCAATGCTACTGCAGTATTTGTAAGAGATATTCAGGTTCCTGGTCTCCAGTGCATCTATGTGTCTTAGTTAAACTCAGTGGTATCTCGCTCCTTTGCTACTGCAGTCAGATTTGCCCTCTTATCACCCTTCTATGGCTTCAGTGAAAGAATCCCAGTGCATGATTTAGTGCTCTGCAATAAAACCTTGATCTCCAGTGACCAGCTTCGAGTTTTTTCCCTCGCAGTTTTTCTCTTTTGGGAAGGTCAGTGGTGTATATTCAGAGCTCCAGAGGTAGTAAAACTCACATGTCTTCAAAGTCCCTGTCAGAGCATCCAGACTAACTGGGTAAAGACAGAAAATATAATTCAATAAAAATTACTGTCAGCATATCCGTGATTAATAACACCACAGTCTGTACTCTCCTTCTGTGCTCTTCCTTAGGTCAAATATTTCCAGGATATACAATATTTTAGTGAAACAATAATTAAGAGAGACAGTGTTGTGAGGATGTCTTGGTTATACATTTCATGGTCACAATAGCTTATTTTAAAATGGGAGCAGGAATAAATCAGGGCTTCACTGGATCTTATTTTAACAAATCTGTTGACCTAAGAAACGGACCCACTGGACGTATGAATTTTAATGTTAATGTTCATAGCTGCTCATTGTCACTGTGGTAACAGACCTGTTTGTCTTGATTTTTAATTTACTTCTAAGGGTTGTTTCGCAGCAGCTTTTAATCTGAATGAAAAGGGCAAAATAGAACCTGTTCATTATCTTCATAAATATTAGTTTCCTGTATCACACTACATAATCACGTTAACAGACGAAGGCCATGTCATTACAGCATGATGCCTGAGCCTAAGCATGTATATTTCTCTATTACACAGAGTCTCATTTTGTCTCCTGTTATTGTTCTGGGGTCTTATGGTGCTCCTGGGTTCCCAGTCTTGCACTGCTATGTTTGTGGCGTTTGCATGTCCTCCCCGTGTTCAACAGATATTCAGATGTCCTGCCACCTCCCAGACATGCTGGTTAGATTGCTTAGCTACTTTAATTGGGAGAGGAGCATCTCAGCT